TATAAGGCATACATTAGAAGTGAACGGTTATCAAGTTTGAACCGGACAAGAACTTAACCAACTAACCAAGTGATTGAATTTAATTCATATAATACATAGTAACAAAAACCATGCATTTATGTTTTCTTTTAATTTTCATTATTTAATTGTGGGACCCCCAACTCTTTTTCTTCGTGGTCTGGCAAGGTTTTAATTAGATAAAAATTACCTAATTGGTCAACAAATAATTAAGCCAAGCACCGCACGTGCTAATTGAGTAATTGTCCTTATTATTCTTCTTCTATGACAAACAAAAATATCAATAAACAAAATATCATGACTCAAGAATAAAGCAAAAAAATCTTCAGTTTTTTTTCTTTTAAATATTTTCATTATTACAGCCTTTATTATCATCAAGTTGATACCAAAATTTGCCCCTTTCGACCGACAATATAAAAAAATTAGACAGAAAAAAACTATATTTTCAAGTCACATGCATTGTTGTAGCAGATAATTTTCCTTAATTTAAAAATTAAAATCCTATTTCTGATGGAGAGTTACCGGTAAGTTTTTTGTTTTTTGTTTTTTGGGTTGTATATAGAGTATTATAAACTAAACTCTTAGGCTGATTAGCAAAAAAAAAAAAAAGTTTATCCCCGAATAACTTTTACAGGGAAAATTATATAACAAGGTAAACATGTGATATGTATTTATGATAAATCATTATAGTTTAAAACATTACAATTTATAGCTATATATAGGGTTTAATAACAAATTTCTCTCTTCTCTCTCCCTTTGTCTCTCTCTCTCTCCCGCCCAAACAATTGCAATCCAAAAAAATATATTCCACATAAATATGACATTTGTATTTTATATTTTGTATTATGTATTAAATATATTTGTATTCCGTATCATCTGTATTTTGTATTATGTATCAACTGTATACATATTCCGTATCAATTATATTATGACAATTTGTATTTTGTCAATTGTACACAAATAGTGTTTGTTAATACAATTGATACGATTATATTCAATATATGATACAAATCAATTGTATTCAGATAATTATATTTGTATTTTTTTTTCAATATTTGTATTTGTATTATGTATCAATTGTATTCATAATTCAACAAATGCAACATGTATTCATCTTCTCTCCTCTCGATCTCGATCTCGTTCGCCTCTCTCCTCCCTCTCTTGATCTTGCTCGTCTCTCTCCTCCTAAAATGAATACAATATACAAATCAATTGTATCAATTGTATTCGTGATATAATGATCTGATACAATGAATACAACAAGTATTCAACCTCTCTTACCTCTCTCCTCCCTCTCCTAGTCTCGCTCGCCTCTCTCCTCCCCCTAGCATGCAACTATAATTCATAATTAAATAAACTATTTTCCCCAATAACCAAATACTTTTGTCTGTAAATACTGCAGATTTGATTCCATCCATAATTCTATTTTCTTTCCTATGAGTTATAGTTATATCTAATTAAGCTCAAATTATAGTTATTTTTTTAAAATTGCCTGAAAATTGATTAGTACTCCATCTGTCCCAATTTATATGATTTACTTTCCTTTTAGGTTAGTCCAAAAAAGAATAACACATTTCTATACTAAATAACAATTTAACTTTAAAAATGTTTATTTTACCCTTAGTGAAATGATTTATAGCAACATAAATTTCTATCATTCATTTTAGACCACAAGTTTTAAAAACCTTCATTTCTTTCTTAAACTCCGTGCCGAGTCAAACTATCTCACATAAAATGAGACGGAGGGAGTAACATTTTGTCAAGATGCGGTAAATTAAATTACTCCCTCCATTGCATATTAATTGAATTTTTGAGGTGTTTCACACCCTTTAAGAAAAGTAGATTAAGACATAAATTGAACATAGTTTTTCATTTTTACCCTTATTAATTATTGTCAAATTTATTGAAGTCGTCACATTGAAAATTCAAATGAAGGGTAAAATTGGAAGAGTACTCTAAAAGTAGTCTTGAAAATTGAACAATTAAGTTAATTTAAAAAATAAAAATGCCTCAAAAATTCAATTAATATAAAATGGTGGAAGTATTAGAAAAGGCATAAATAAATTTTTTATAGAAAGAAAACAAAGATCTTCTCTAAAGTTGAATAAAGCAGTTGTTGTAGTAATGATTTGTGGGATGGTTTAAACGAATCACAGAAATGGAGGCTAAAAAAGTTGCAATTTCTTGGACGGCCGATTGGTCACATGTTGAAGGATGACGTGTCATTGCTGACCTGTCCTTTCCCGGGTTTCATGATAATCTTCATAGTCAACACCCAAAAACACAACTACTAACTTTTATATTGCCACCAAAACACTTCAGCATCACAAATATAGTATTTGATGAGCTTAATTACATAAATCAGTATTCATTGTCATGTTTATTAAAAATAATTATTTCAAAATATTTGTTGTTAAGAAATAATTGAATCATTGTTTCCCGTTTAACCTGAATTAATATTAATTGAAATTTAAGAAGGAAAAACTACATAATAAGGCAATATATGCCATGTATTAATAAAATTATATTTCACAGCTATATTATCCATTTAATAGCTACTTTCTAATTTAAAAGTGTATCTTTCAATTAGTATACTTTTAGGCTTAATTCTAGGCATTGTATTTATATATTATTTATCTTTCCTATTTTCTCTCCAAATTAGTGTATATAGCCCCAGATTAACGCATTATTCCCTCTTTCAAGGATGATTTTTTTTTTCATGGATGATTCTTTTAATGACGATGCACTTCCTCTTCCTTTCTTCGAGAAATTGGCACTATCATTGGCTTGAGATGATTTACGAAATTTCATTGTCAGCCATGAGAGAAAGTTTTGAAGCTTAAGTTCAAATTACGTATTCATAAAATTGTTACTAAAATTAATGAGCGGTTGTTTTGAAAGATTGAATATATTATGAGAAGTTCATATATCAAATTTGAGGGATTGTTGGTGCAAATTTGGAGACTTTTCAAGGAATCAAAAACACATATATACATTCTATTCATGTATTAAAGTACTAGAGAGGCCATAGCCCGTGCCTAGCACGGGCCCAACACTGTCAAATTTGTGACATGAAACTCAAAATTACACTAAATAGCAGAATTCTATCATTATCGATATTTACATGGTATCAGTAAGTGCACGTGTAATAAAAGAGGTATAACCACTCGGGTGTATGTTTTCCAAACTAAAAACACTTAGCTATAAACTATCCTTGCAAATGAAAATTGATACTCAAGCAATTGAGCATTTTAAATTCATTCAGATACACATTACCAGGAAGCCATTGTTAACATGTGAAAATTATCTTTTGCATACATAATTGTGCTTAATAAGATACTTATCTCTACTACGTGTAAAAGATACAAGTACATTATCAAAAATACTATTAGACATATCAAATGTATGTATCTTCAAATGTGTCTTGATTCATTGTTTCAATGAGCTACACTCCATGGCTTGGTAGCCATCCTTGGCTGTTCCAGAAATCACATAGCAAAGAGGTATTTTGAGGTACCTTCAGAAAGCTTCTAAAAAACAATCAGCTGAAGAAAATTGAACTTAAGAGGGCTGCAAAAATAAAATTAGAGAGTTATACAATGAAAGATGCATTTGTCAAAAGTTATTATACCATACTGTCAACAGATTTTCATAGACTATAAAATGAACAACTAAAATGCCCTTGGACTGCTATAATCTACTATTGATACCCTTCGGGGTGGCCCAGTGGTTTGAGCTTGGGACTTCCATGTTGGAGGTCTCAAGTTCGAAACCCCTTGCCAGCGAAAGCAAGGGGTTTGCCTTCTGGGTCGAGCTCGTTGCACCAGGCTTGCCTAGTGCGGTTTACCTCTCCTATGTGGTTTGCGAGCTATTGCATAGGAGCGGGGGTTTTACCCTGTGCGCACCCAAAGGGTAGCGGCTGTGGGTTTCCCTTGTCATAAAAAATAAAAAATAAAAATATATATATATATATAATCTACTATTGATAGCAGTCAAAATTCTTAAACCAAAGTAACTATTGTTTTGGAAGTTGAATGAGTAATAAGCTCTTTCAAAAATAAATATAGAACAACAGCTAATAAGTTAGAGACTCGGTGCGTTGTTTAACCAAAAACTTCTCTTTTATCTCTAAATTGATTTCCATCAACAACAACAATTAAACCACTTTAGGAAATCTAAAGTAAGAACTTCAGACCACAAATTGCTACAGTAAATGAAACTATGTAGCTATATCCGGACATTAATATCAGAACACTACTATGAGAAATACATATATATAAACACATAATAAGCTAAAATGAATTCAATCTGATGAACCATTTTCATACCATACTTTCTTCTTCATTAGGACCAACTCTTCTTTTTTATTAACATAATTAACTATCAAGCAAAAGTTTGTTCAAGGATTAACTCCTTATTCACTAGACTAATACTCTAGACATATTAAAATATACATTAGCACAAAATCGCACAAGTACTACAAGAAATTATACAATAAATGAGATGTCTACCCTTTAATATTTCATTTCTCATAGATTCTTTCCTGATGTTATTAACCTTTAGTCTCAGATTGTAGTTGGAGTGTAGCTAATTAGGACCACAGTTATAATTTGACCTTGAGGAATAACGTCTCTACATTATATATATACTCCAACAACTCTAATCTTATTATATTTCTACGTCTTAGAAATCCATTTTCTCTAGTCTACCTCACTCCAACACATTAATTAGCTATAGAATTATGTTTGCAATATTGCTAACTACGGATAGATGTAGTTCCTACGCGTTCAATTGGATCCAATATGTTTAACACAAAGGTTAAATACATATGTGAATAATTAAAAAAATCAACTATGTTTTGAGCCCATAATGGCAGAAACTCAATATTGAGAACATAAATATTAATTTCGTCAAAGTTAAATCATTGGTGATTAATATAAATAGGTGCAAGGCTTAAAAGCAAGTTGACAGTGTCGATTAAGATATCTTAAGCCAGATAAGAAATACCTGAATGTGTAAACATATGGGGAACTGGTGCAACATCTGTAATGTAAGATAACATCAAACACAAGTTAGATTATATCCGCTCCTGTGGACTACAGGTTTATGAGATTTTTTTTATGTATAGAACACGTGTACTACATCTAAACAACTAAACCTAAATATTGAACACTCTTCCTCCTTCCCTTGTCTTCCTTCTTCGACTTCATTCTCTACTCAAAAATCAAAGCTTGAAGATGATGAATTAATCAAAGTTGAGGATTGTTAAATTTTTCCCATTAAATGGGTAAGATCTGTAGGATCACCCATTTCATCCATATATATTTACTTAAATACCAGTTGATATAAGAAATGAGGTAGCCTAACGTAGTTCCTACGTGTTCAATTGGATCCAATATATTTAACATAAATGTTAAATACATATGTGAATAATAAATAAAAAAATCATCTATGTTTTGAGCCCATAATTGCAGAAACTCAGTTTGAGAACATAAATGATAATTTCATAAAAGTTAAATCATTGGTGATTAATATATATAGGTAAGGATTAAAAGCAAGTTGACAGTGTCGATTGAGATATTTTACGCAAGATACGAAATACCTGAATGTGTAAACATATGGAGAATTGGTGCAACATCTGTAATGCAAGTGAACATCAAACACAAGTTAGATTATATCTGCTCCTGTGGACTACGGGTTTATGAGAAAATTACAAATTAAAGCCTCTCTCTTTAATAGGATTTTCGCCATTCATATAGCTAGAGGCTATGATTTTGCAATTTGATCGTTTGGTCATCAATTCAGCGATTTTCATTGCAAGCGACCAAAAAATTTGCAAAATAATAATTCAGGGAACATGTATTTTGATAAATTTAGCTTCAATGGAACTATATCAATAACAAATTATTTTGAGAAAAAATAGGCGTACTGACCTCTTTCAACTGTCGACTTTGACTAACTAAGCGTCCAATTAAACAACTAATTTGAGAACTTGCAAATATATTTTCTTCCAGTTTCCTCTGCAAGAATTCATGGGCGAATTTGGCCTGTGATGTCAAGAAACCCGAAATACCTAATCAACAAGATTTTTTGTTAAGGTTCGAACTTGTAAATGACATGCATGTCTATATCTAGCAAGAGATTATCTGAAAGAGCAAAAGAACTAAAACTGAAGCAAAAAGACACAAACATTGAAAGAAATCCAGAACTAATGGGTATAAAATTAGTCGAGAAAAAAATAAAAAAAGGGATGGAGGGCGGGCAACGGGAATTACCATATCAAAAGGAAAAAAGTCAGGGCACCATCATGAGCATACAATAGTTGCGGCCACATAACTAATTCACAATTTCTTCAATTCAACATAAATGGACCTTCAGCATCTCAAATAATGGGTAAAACTTAATAATCATTGAATAATATATGGAAACCAACTCCAAAAATCAAATTTGAATATATAGGCTCCGTTTTGAAACTTAGCATCATGATCAAAGTAAAGTAACGAAACTCATGAATTCAATTCGAGGCATCTCAAACTCCATTACGAATATGCAAGTAAAAAATTAATCAAAAATCAGAAAATTAACAAAGATTTGGAATCAAAATTTCCAACAAAAACTACATCCAGTACAACTAAAATCTTTAAAGGATAAAATCAGAAATTTTACCATTACCGCAAATATTAATAATAAATCTACCATTGTGGTGAAACATGCAGAAAAAGACTAAAAAACTCACCCGTTTAGATTTTGAAAGAGAGTGAGTTGGGAGAGATTGAGAGCTATAACTCTAAATTGAGAACTTTAGATTACCTTAGACCTTTGAAGTTGGATTTATTGATTTGAAATTTTCTGCATAAATTTTGTTTTAGAGAGATGGTGAGGGTTGAGAAAGGAAGAGAGTAAGAGAGGAAGAATGAGAAAGATAAAGCACAGGGTAAACTCATTTGGAACCTCTGCAATTGTAGTTAAAGTGCCTAAATACCCCTCTTTTTAGTACAATTCGCCTTGCTTTTTGTACAATAGGGTGATGCAATGTTGGTCCAAGCCTTATTGGCTTATATAATATAGAATATGTATATGCATTATATTAATGTATTTAAGTATATTATTTGTTTCATTATTATTGTATCAAATATCTTTGTTTGTATCTGATATTGATTACACATTTGTATCAATGTATCAATGTATTGTGTATCTTGTAACTTGTTATAACTTTGTACCAATGTAATCTAATCTATTAGTTCCTTACTTTACTTTTGTATCATCTATTTTGAGTCTATAATGTTCACTATTATATATTTGTATAAATGTATTTGAGTATTTCTATAGTGTTTTCATCACTAGAAAGCATTTATATAAATATCGTATCAATATATTCAAGTGAAAAATAGTCGATAACAACAAACTGTCACGACCCATACCGTTGTGATTGGCACCCACACTAACCCTCCGGTGGGAGAGCCACTACTACAACTCAAACAAGCAACTAAACCAAAACTAAGACATTTAAACTATGAAAACAAATTAATTAACTAACAAATACGAAAATTTAATACCTAGAACCTGAAAGTCAATGTACCAAAACTCTACTAACGACAAGTCTTAGAACAAGGGGTACAACCTCGAAACTAAACAATACCTTAAACAAAAGTCTAAGTCCGCAAAAAGTGGACTTAAACAAGGAAGATCCATGGCAGCCTGAAAGAACTGGCTCACCCTTGAATCCGCTCACGCTCATAGTCACCTAGTTGAGGTCTATCAATAGCCACCTAAAGATGCCCTGTACTCAACAAAGAAAGAGCAAGTGCAGTATCAGTACACAACCACAATGT